AGACCCCAGGACAGACCCATGACACGTCCGATTCGGAAAAAGAGACCCCAGGACAGACCCATGACACGTCCAATTCGGAAAAAGAGACCCCAGGACAGACCCCTGGCACGTCCAATTCGGAACAGAAAACCCCAGAAAGACCCTCCAGTAAGGAGCAACTCCCTGAGCCTGGGGTGATTGCATCATCCGAGAAAGATCCACTTCATAAAACGGGAGCAGAACCTGGTGAGAAAGAGTCCACAGACTTGGATCCTGCCTCTCCACAGCAGGAAGGAGATGGCAAGGCTTCAGAACCTGTGGAAGATGAGGAGCCCATGCAGATTGAGGGAGATGAGGAAGAGCCTAAAGAGGAGGCTTCACCCAAAGAAGGGATGGCGGGCCATGCCTCCAGTGAGAATGGAAAAGGTCTCCCTTTGGATTTGCTTGACAATGAAAAGGATGACTTTTTAAAAGATAATACTGGAACTGGCAATGCGGAGAGCAGCCACTTCTTTGCCTACCTGGTGACCGCTGCCATTCTGGTCGCTGTCCTCTATGTAACCTATCACAACAAGCGAAAGGTAAGACAAAGGTCATCTTAAGGAGGAACTGTGGTTTCCTTCTACTCTGAAATCTTGGTCTATAGCCTGCTGTCCATCATTCATTGGCATCTGAGCACTGGGGATCTTAAGGCAAGCTTGCATTTTTCCTTAGATCTTGCTAGGTTCATCACTCCACTGTGTCACCTGTACCCTCTCATTGTCCCCTGCTTTTGCATTAAGTGCCTCCTCAAGATGCTTACCGTATAGCTCAGCAGACCTGGATATATGACTGTTTATTCACCGTCATAGTTATCTACTGCTGCTGTAATAGATCCACAGGATGACATTAACAAACAGGTTTATTCTGTTACAATTTAGGAAGCTAGAAGTCCAAATTCAGGGTGTCGGCTAGTTGTCTGGGGTGCTTCTCTTGTTTCCAGAGGAAGGCCCTCTGTTGCCCTCAGCATCAGTTGGATTATCATTCCTTGGAGATCCCCATTTGTCTTGGGCTTTCCTGTGTCAAGGTAAAGGGTGCACTCTGCTCCTGGAATTTATTTCTCAGCTCATTTTCCTCCCCTTTTATGTTCCAGGCAATACTATATGAAAATTCCCTTACAGTGACAGGAGTAAGGAGTATTTCCATCCACCCTTAATCCTTTTACAACTATTTGCTTTATCAGATCATGGAAGATCAGATTCCACATTATATAGTTGTTGTTGTTGTTGTAATAATTGTGCGCCATTAGTAGGAACCAATTCAGCTGACCCTTTAGTGTGTTTTCAGCAGCTATAAATCACAGAGGAGGATATTACCCATTTTTCTCTTTCAGAACAGCTGGTGGATTTGAACCACATACCTTTGGGTTGATAGCACAGTTCACTTTACCTACTAGGTCACCAGAGCTCCCTGCATTGTATCATACATATATTAAAAACTAAAACTCATTACCATCAAGTTGTCATTGACTCACGACATGTGGGATTTTGGAGACCAAATTGCACTAGAGGAGATTGTCCATCCTTCTCCCATGGAACCGCTGTTGGGTTCAAACTTCGGAAAGTGCTTCCTTTGAGTTAGTGCAGGCTAGGCCCCGAGAGCTCCCCGCTTATGTTTTGGGAAGATTCAGTTCAACACATGGCAAGTACTTACAGCCCATGTTTCCAGTGTGCCCTTAAAATGGGTATATCATTTCCAGCTTTCCAAAGCATCAGTCCTCCATCTGCAGTGATAGAAAGGTTTCAGTTGTCTTTGGCGTTCACAGTAGACATTTCCATTTTCATGTATGTAAGGTTGGAAAGCCTAGAAATTGCACAGATAACACATCTTTAGCAGGATTTGGTGTGAAAAGTGGAGAAAGTCCCATAGGAACCACTTAAATGACTAAGCATTGTATTTCCCATTGAGTTAAGAATTTAGAAGATAGTATTTATTCCCTGGTTAAAATTGAAGAATACTTCTTTTTTTTTTTATGGTGAGAAAAATTTATTACATTTAGAATTAGCCCGCTGGACTCAGTTTAGATGATCCCAATTTTGTTGGCAACATCCAAAGCATCATAATCAGGAGCAAGTCGAACATAGGCCTTCTTCTCTCCATCAGGCCTAATCAAAGTGTTGACCTTAGCCACATCAATGTCATAGAGCTTCTTTACAGCTTGTTTAATTTGGTGCTTATTGGCCTTGACATCCACAATGAACACAAGTGTGTTGTTATCTTCTATCTTCTTCATAGCTGACTCAGTGGTCAGGGGAAATTTGATGATGGCATAGTGGTCAAGATTGTTTCTCCTGGGAACACTCTTCCGGGGGTATTTTGGCTGCCGTTGGAGTCTCAGCGTCTTAGGCCGTGGGAATGTGGGTGACGTGCGGATCTTCTTTTTTTTTTTTGGCTGTGGACGCCCTTCAGGACTGCCTTCTTGGCCTTCAATGCCTTTGCTTTGGCTTCAGTTTTGGGAGGGGCAGGGGCTTCCTTCTTCGCTTTCGGCGCCATCTTCGTAGAAAGGGTCTCTCAAACATGTTCTCCGAAGAATACTTCTTAATGACAGTCAGTCTATACCTATAAAGAGTAAGGGAGTGAAAGCTGCCTTGCTTACACAGAGTCTACTGATCCAGTGTTGAACATAGAGAGAAACTTTAGTTCAGTGAGGGTGGGAAAGTCAATAGTGCAGTCATGGAAGAAAAAAAAGTGTAGGATAAAAGAGTTCTCTAGAAACTAGCTGCTTTAGAGAAATGACAGCTCACATGATATACAGACAAAATTAAAATCTGGGGGCAGATGACAGGCGATAGGCTGTTGCCTCAGAGGCTGGCACATTCCATTGGCATTAGGTCAGATGGCAGGCTGCTGGCTCCCAGGGATGTGGAAACTGCTAAGTCCCACAGTTGACAGTCTGCAAGCTCCAGTCCCCAAACCTGGAGGTCAGATTGTAACAAGCTAGATGCAGGATCCAGAGTAAGAGAGAGCCTGGCTGGGGCGTCATGTGGACATGACACTGATTGTCCGTCAGAAAAGGGGCTTGTCATGAGTAGGACTTTGCCTTGTCGTGCCCTCTTTTGAGGCTGAGACTCAGGATACACCCTACTCTAATTGTACTCTGCTAACATAAAGAAGTTAGCACTCACCACACATGAAATGAAGGCTAATTATATGATTTACACAATAGTCACAAAGGGGAATAATTAGATCACAGAAATGGCAGCTACCACCACACAATTCTGGGAATGACAGCCTCCCCAAATCGAGATATAAAGTTAACCTTTACACTGTATATGTTTCAAATATGAAATAATTTTTAACAAAGCTATCCTTGCTTGAAAACAGCCTCCAGAGCTCTGTGGAGGAGGAATTGGTCATCAATTGGTTCAGCCCCTTTGAAAGCTTATGAGTGAATCAGACAAACAGCCACTGGCTACAGCAGCCTTCTTTGCCTATCAGTTCAGACCTATTGATGTCAAGTAGAGAGCTCTCATTGCCTAATGGACGGGAGCCACACTGCCAAGCAAAGCAGGGTTCTGATCCACCAGCTGCTCTGGGAGAAAGATAAGCAATCTGGATGATTTACTGCTTCCAAAACCCCACTGCAGGGGCAGCTATGAGTTGGTTCCAACTCAGCAGTACTCAACAAGAAGCTGGTAAGCCAAGATGACTGTGTTGGAAACCACTGGCTTTCCAAGACTAAATCTTTATTGGATAAAACACCCCTCTTTCTTCTGAAGAACCACTGATAGATTTGAAATGCTAACCTTTCAGTTAGCCATTATGCACCATACCACTAGGCTCCTCATAAATGAACTAACAATAGTCTTTGTGGTACTTCCTCGTTATTTACATCATAAAAAGCTGTGGCTTGTGTGCTCGGATTCAACCAGTACCAAGATTTTTATTTGGTTCAGACTTGATGGCAACAAGTTAATTGCTTTAAAAATAGTCCACAGTGAGATTTTAGCTACTTAAGGTAGCTGTCTCTCTACATAGCCTTTGACGTTGCACCTGGGCTCTGGTGGCACAGTCCACAGGGAGTTGGGCTGTTAACTTAATGGACTGTGGACTATGGCAGCTGCTCTGTGATGATGTGACTCCACACACAGCTTAGCTGGTGAGGTGTAATGGTATATTAGTGATGTGTGTTATTCAGAGACCCCTGAGTGGTGCAGAAAGTTTGGCATTCAAACCTACTCATTGGGAAGCCTGACAGTCTGCCTTCGTAAAGATCACAGCCTAGAGAAGGATGGGAATTTCCCTCCCACACCATTCTCAGCTTCCGAACTCCACTGGCAGGTCAGCTGTGAGCCAGTTCCAACTCAGCAGCCATGTATTTATGGTTTTTCAGTTTCTGCTGTTATTAGTTGCCATTGAGTCACCCTGGCTAATGGTTATCTTGAGTATAAGGAACTCAGTTGCTAGGGTCTGTACCATCTCCATAACTTTTGGTGTGTTTGAGCCCTGTCATCAGTTATTGTCAAGTCTCCTCAGCTCTCTGTGCAGCACAGGGGAACCTTGCCCAATCCAGTACCACTGTCCCAGTGTCTTCTGTACCAAAATGTTATACAAGAGGCACCGTGTCCATCTTGTTGAGGGCCTTCCTCTCCTTCTCTCACCCACATTTTTAATCATTATGTTCTTCTCCAAGGACTGATCCTTCCTGACAAGGTTCTTAAAGTACATAAGAAGAAATCTCACTATGCTTTCCTGTAAGGAGGATTCTACCTGCATTTCTTCTAAGATTTGTTTGTTCTTTTGGCAGTGCATGGTATATTCACTATTCTTTGCCAACACTACAGTTCAAGAGCATCTATAAAAAGAAAAAGGGCCGTGGTGGCGGCCATATTTGACCTTGACCAACTTCACAAAGGGGAGCTATCCCCATCAACAAAACAGGATCAATTTCTAGGAGCTCAGACGTGTTCCCCTTGTTCCCGCCCCTCTTTCTACTCATTCCGGTACCAATCTTACTACTTTACTGGGTCTAGAATCTGATGTGGTAGCTCACAGTACCATATTGGGGAAGTCAAAAGGCTATAATTCAGGTTAATAGCAGAATACAGTCAGAACAGATTTTGAAATGTACTCACAGGTACCTCAGCCTTCAGCCTTGTGGCTTTAGATTAGTGCTACAGAGCTCTCTATCTAGAGCAGGGGGCTGTTGTGCAGACAGAGCAGGAGAACACTACATGGTTTAAAATTAGGAAGGGAGTGTGTCAGGTTTGTATTCTGTCTGCATAACTATTCAGTCCGTATACTGAGCAAATTATTCAAGAAGCTAGCCTCTGTGAAGAGGAATGTGGCATCAGGACTGGAGGGAGACTCATCAATAACCTGCATTATGCTGATGACACAACCTTGTTTGCTGAAAGTGAAGAGGACTTGAAGTTCTCCTTGGCAGAGGATCAAAGAGTACAGCCTTCAAAATGGATTGCAACAGTGGATTCACAGTTAACATGCTTGGCACTAGCTGTCAGGAAATCAGGACATACTTGGTACTAGGAGTCAGGAAATCAGGAGATGTAGTGCAGTGGGAAAGTCTACAGTTAGGGGACCTATCCACATTATTGAGTAATAATGTCAGGCCTAGGTCTTTCCAACCACTTGCTGTGCATCTGAGAACTGTTCAGTGAATAAGGATGACGCAAGAATTGATGCCTTTGAGCTATGGTGTTAGAGAAAAGCACTGAGCATCCCACGGACTTCTGAAAGAACAAATATATGTATCTTAGAAAGGTGCTGCCAGAGTGCTCTTTGGAAGCAAAGATGATGAGGCTTCACTTCACATATATTTTGGGAATGTTGCTAGGAAAGGCTATTCTTGGAGAGGAACATGATACTCAGAAAGGTGGATGGTCGTCAGGAGAGAGGAAGACCCTCGACCAGGTGGATTGACGTGGTGACTGCTCAGTGGGCTCTTGCATGTCAGAAGGTGTGAGGATCACACAGAATAGGACAGGGTTCACATCTGTTGTTCATAGAGTTGCTGTGGGATGTACTTGATAGCACTTAACAACAAACCTCTCAGTCCTGTCAGTTATGGCTTTCCCGCTCAGTCCTGTCAGTTATGGCTTTCCCTGTCCCTCCCCCAGTCCTACAATAAACATGACATAGGCTCTTCCTCTGGTTCTGTGGAAAGTAACAGTCCCAAGGTCAGCTTTCATGTCCGGTCTCTGGTCGTCTGCTTTGGCTGCTGCTGCTGTAAGTCTAGCTGGTGCTAGAATCTCTGGTCCTGAAGGTGGCCCAGTGCATGCCTATGCCTATGTCTCCTTTGACGATGGTGAGACTTTATAATCCTGCTGCTGGATCCACTCAGTTTAATGGTGAGACTAGCCAGTCCCTTTGTGGATAGGTTAACAGACCCGATTTGCAAATTCCTGCCCATCCACATTGGGTGTTCAGAGGCCTGTTATTTAAGAAGTGGATGGACAATCTTGCTTCCTCGTCTTTATTAATCTGGGAGCTCTACTAACACCTGTCCACCATGGGTAACCCTTGTGGCATTGGGTCATACTTAACTTGATGGCACCTAATAGCCCAGCCACATGGCAAAGTAAGTTAATGGAAAAGGAAGCTATTTTGAACAGTAAACCCTTAACACCAGTCATCATTGATTCTTTGATCTTTTTTATTTGATGTCCAACATTCATGTTCATAGGAATCAATTGAAAATACCATGGCATAGGTCAGGCACACCTTAGTCTTTAAAGTGACCTCCTGCTTGTAAGCACTTCATAGAACCCTACAAGGGCAAAACTTCATCTCACAAACTTAGGGCAGGAGGTTCAGAGGGTCCAGGACATATGTTGGGAAAAGTGAAGGGTCAGTGAAAAAAACAGGAAGACCCTCAGAGAGGTGGGTTGACACAGTAACTATAACAATGTGCTCAAGTATATCAGAGATGGTGAGGAAGGAATAGGGTAGAGAAGAATTCAGACCTGTTCATAGTTTCACTATGCATTGTACTCTACTTGACAGCACCTGACAACCACAGGTAAGATATAGCTCTATACTCTTCAGGTCTCAGGCTGCTTTCCCCCTTAGAGTTCTCAGAAGGACAACACCTAGACAGAAGGATCTCTTAACCTCTTTCCCTCCAGGTGGCTCCCCATGCTGCTTGCTTCTGAAAGACCTGTTATGGGATGTCACCCCAGTGCATAGGTATCAATGTGTTAAGTTTCCTTAAATAGTGTGTTGTACAATATTTGTTGCTGTTATATACCATCAAGTCACCCATGAATCATAGAGACCCTATGTACAACACCCCTAAACCCTGCCCTATCCTGTGCCAATCTCACTGTCTCTGACACACCTACTCCCATTACCCTAGTCACTGAATCAGTCCATCTCATTGAGGGTCTTTCTCTCCTGTGCTGTCCCTCCACCCTCCCAAGCATGACGTCCCTCTCCAAAGACTGGTCCCTCCTTGCAACATGTCCAAAATATGTCAGATGAAGCTTCAGAATCTTTGCCTCCAAGGAGCAGTCTGGCTTCACCCTCTCCAGGACAAACCTGTTCGTTTTCTTAGCAGTTCAATACTCATCTCCAGCACCACAGCTCAAAGGCATCAATTCTCCTTCTATCATCCCTAGTTACTGTCCAGCTCTCTGATACATAGCAAGTGATTGCAAAGACCATGGCATGTCTCAGGCGTACCTTCATCTCCAGACTGACATCATTGCTCTTAAACACTTTAAAGAGGTCTCTAACAGCAGACTTTCCCATGACAATATGTCTTTTAATTTCCTGGCTGCTGGTGCCAAGAGTGTTGACTGTGGAGCCAAGCAAACTAAAACTGGGAACAATCTCTATCTCTTCATCATCCATCCTGATGCTGCCATCAGCCCAGTGGTAACAGTCTTTGTTTTCTTGATATTGAGCCTCAATCCATACTATAGAAATTTTTGTTCTTCCTTTCCCCAGATTATTGCTTTTGTCTTGGAAGGAAAACGATCCAAAGTCACTCGGCGGCCAAAGGCCAGTGACTACCAACGTCTGGACCAGAAGGTAAGCGGGGAGGGATGTTAAGTGACAGAGCACCTCAGCAGCAGGTGATTCCGGGGTGCTGCTGCCATACCCCAGCCCTTTGTACGCCATAAAGTAGATGTTCCTACATGTATGTCTATAATGTTAAGGTGAAGAGTCATCTTAGAGCACACGTACAACAGCTACCTCCCTTCACTGATAAAGAAACTGAAGCTCAGAATCCGAGTACCTGCTGGAGCTTGGCAAATTTAACTGTCTGAATTCCAAGTCCTTTGGTTTTTACCAGGGTTTTCAGCCAGTTCTTGGTTCATTCATGGCTGACAAAGCAAAGCCTAAATGAACACAGATTTTTAAAACTTGAGTGAACTAGAACAATACTTGAAACAGGAAAAATTTCCTCTTAGAAAACAAGAGCAGCATGCATGTGACACAACCTTGACAAGCTGGGTCTGTCACCGTTGTGTCTCAGTACTGGCCGGCATCTCACCACACCATAGCTGTGCCTGCTCTCCACTCCCGACGGTAGTTGTTTCATGTTTCGGGTCCTGAAAGGACTCACTGAGTCATAGCACCTCCTCTGAGTCTCCCCTTCCAGAATTTCAACTCTTGATTTTCCCTCTTCTAGTTGTTGTTCCACTTCACCCCAATTTAAAAATACTTGGATCTGTTGTACTTTCACCATATCAACCAACACTGAACCTGCTCAACAACCTGCTCTCTGCCTGACTGCAGCGTGTCGCAGATGATAACAGGCATGCAGATCATCTGGAGTTTCTTTGTGAAAATGATTCTGATTGACTAGGTCTGACTGTAGACTGAGGCTCCATTTCTACATTGCCATGTGATAACAAGTACTGCTGGAACCACCTGTAGCAAATGAGGTGCACGCACAGGCCTCCAGGTCCCTGACCAGCCCTGGGTGAAGACCCAACCCCATCAGACCTGTCAGTTTCCCGAGTCCCATAACCCATGGCCTCTGCCAGAAAGAAGAGGCCTTCCTCCACCCTGCAGCAGCAGGCTCTGTGAGCGTGTCCCTGGAAACTGCTGTCCACACATAGGCAAAGACAGCACCAATCTGGGAAGGATCACCCCGCACTTTCTGCAGGGGACAGAATAGACTTGTAGGAGCTGCAGAAATGGCCACTTAGCTCAGAACATCTTGGCTAACTGGACCCATGAATCAGATCACAGTTGGTCCTGCTCTTGTATTTTTCTTCATTAATTTAAGGAATTTTTTTTTCTCTTTAATACAATCTGTTGTAACTAAAAAAATACATACAGGAGAGATGGTATGAAGCACAGACTTCCCCTGTTGCCTCCTTCAGTACATCTTTTTCTAGCATGTGTTTTGAGACTTGACTTTTTGTCTTTAATTTTTTGTTATTTGGACTACACGTAGCAGACATACACCCATTGAGCAGCTTCTCCGTGTACAACAGTGATGATGATTACATTTATTGAATTGTGCAGTCATCCACACCCTCCTCTTCTGAATTATTCCTTTATTAACATGCGTTTACTGTCCCCTAAGGTTCCTGTCTTGGGTTTTAAGTTGCCATTGTCACTTTGATCCCATATAAATAACTCTTAATGTAATATTCAAGGCCGACCCTTTTTTACTAGCTAAATTATTGTTACTGTTTAAGAAGACTTCAGAGGATATGTTTCATTTCATAAAGATTGGCTCAGGACTTTCGACATTATCTCAAGCAATAATTTTAGGAGTTCACTCCCCTCTTCCGTAACTCCAGGAACAATGGGAATTAACTCTGTTCTGCATTTCCTCCCCTTTTGATTGTGATTCTTCTATGGAACCTTAGATCACACTTGAGTACTGGGAGCTCAACACTATCAGTTGTTCAATGCTCATGGTACAGTAGTCACCTGTTCATAGTGGCAATTAGCCACACATTCCATTTCCTCCTACTCCTGACTCTCCTTCCTCTGTTGCCCGAGGTAAATAGAAACCACTTCTGCCTTGAATGGCCACTCTGTTAGTCCCCTGGCACTATACAATGACCTAGGAGGTAGATCAGAAGTGCTAGACATGTTACTAGGTCAGTTAAGTGGGATGTCTCATGAAACCAGGACCACCACACCAGGAATCACATCCCATGAGGGAAGTGATTGTATATAAGCAGCCTCAGCAGCTACTTTAAACAGACTTTCAAAATAATCCTAGATGCTTTTATTTTACAATTGTTGTTTGATAGTGGAACAGTTTATCTTAATTCTGAATATTTCTTCTCCTCCATATTAAAGGATTAAGGTATATATTCTTCTGGAAAAAGATGGACGTCACCAATGAATTATGTTGCTTTCATTTCAGATTTGACTTTTTCCCCACTTGGGAACTTTGTCCTCCCTGCTGATTTGTTTGTAAAATCAAGAAAAATGAAGAGAAAAGTACTGTGACCTCAAGAGACACCTCTTCCTCTGGGATATGGTGGCAAGTCTGGGTGGGCAGAATCAGGGGAATGACTTGGGTTTTTTTGCACCTGCACTTTGGTGACGTTGTACGCGTATGTTCTCTTTACTTGTGCTTTACCCTCACCCTTTATGAGCGTGAATGGATGGAGAATGAGCAAACTTGGCTGTGACCAAATCAGAGAGACCCCATCCCCAATCAGGTGATTTTAGGGATGAGCTCTGTTAATAATTGTTGCCCGTTGACACCACCATTGCACTTGCAGCTATTTCCCTTTGCCAGTATAGAGTAAACCCTGCAGGTTCCAGTCCTTTCTGACCAGTAACTCTTATTCAAGAGCTGTGCCCTTCCAAAGACATAGAAGACAGAAAATGCTGACAGACAAAGGGCATATTTGAACACATAATTCTTTTCAAATGGCAAATCAAAAATGTGCTTAACTGTCTGAAAATGCAACTTGTGTAGTACAAGTACTTCACATTTTTTCTAGTTTAAGACAAAAAGTCAACTTCCATTTGGTTGTACTGAACATAATACCGACCTTGGGGTTTCTGGGCATAAAGCCATAGTGTCCCTGTGCCCACTGCAGATTATAAAGTGTGGTTGTGATTACTGAAACATCAGTGAGTTCTTCCATATTTGTAACCATACTCCATGGGACAGGCTTATGTGTCCTGCAAGAAAACAAGTGTAGGAGGGTTTGGGTTTTGGTCTGCATTCTCTTTAAAGAGCACTTAGAAAGTGCAGTTCTTGTCTGCAGACTCAGAGCTGACCCTCCACTGGCTTTCTGAGGTTGTAAGTCACATGGTAGAAGATGTCCCGTCTTTTCTCACTGAGCTATTGGTGGGTATGAACCATCAGGGAAATGACACCTTTGAGTTAGAAGTGCAGCTCCTACAAACTACACCACCAGAGTTCCCATTTATAGAACAGGTTTCCCAGAAACTCCATTACCTTTGTCAACTGAAATGAACAAATTTCCTAACCATTTTACCATCATCAGACTGTCTTATCTGATATAAAATGCTGAGGATAATTAGTAAAAACTTCATCACATCAGGGGTCATTTAAGAAACTCAGTGGGCTTCCGCTTGGGTCTAAAGTTAATATGTCACACTTTTTGAAAGTTCCCTTTAAGCCTGTTTAAATCTTGCCCTGCAACAGAGAAAACCCAAAGAGAGGTTTCAGCAAGGGAGAAATCCAAATAGAGGGCCTAATCTCAGGAAAGTGCACGGACTGGAACGGAGGAAATGTAATGAGTGCTGTTGAGGAGTCCAGGCTGAAGGAGGACTGTCTTCTGTCCTTGTGTCTCTCTCCTTGCCTATAAAAGCCCATGCCTGTGAGATGAAATTTTCTTTCTTGGAAAGTAACCTTATTTGTGCTATTCTGTTTGTACTCCAATCTTACTATAGATTCCTCCTTGCTGAGTTTTCTACCAGAATCTTTGAACACTGCCTAAGACCTTGGTGGTTTTATTTCCCATTTTTCTTCCCTTTTCCCACTCACCCCGCCTTCTCCTTTGTTCTCTACATGTGACTATTCTAGCAGTTTGTTCTCATATGTGCTTAGATTTCTTCCACCCTCACTCTTCTTGTGTAGTTAAAACACCAGAAAATGTTGCTTCCATTTTCATACCTTTCTCTTCTTAACCTTTACAAACTTCAATTGATGCCAACTTTCTACTAACAGTTTTCTCATAGGTTACTAGTTACCAGATCACTAGATCTAATGGCTTGTCAAAACTTAGCCTTATGTGATAGTTTTGAACACTGTTGAGCATTCATATAAAGATTCTCTTACAATGTGCCCTGATTCCTGGGCCCTTCCCATTTCCTACCTTGGGGGGAGACGGGTCTCAAAGACAGCTTCCTACTCTGTCTCCTTGGGAATCTGACCATTCTTCATCCTCTTACATGAGTGATTTAGCCCTTACCGTTGCCTCCTCTCCAGGCCTGCTGTTAGCCTGTCCTGTTAAACACCCAGGACACTATTCCTGTCAGCAGTCAGATTTTTAAAAATAAATTTATTTTTTCATTGTTAAACATTTTCTTCCCCCTCTCCCCTCCAGATATTTTAATCTGAATACAAAATTTCCAATTTTCACCTCATCACAAAAATCTTTTTTTCTAGCCTCAGTCTTCCTTTCCATGTCTCTTATTTACCCCTCCCCACATGCCTGCCCATTGCGCTTCTTGCCTGTACTTGTTTTCCCAAGAGCCACTTTAGTTGGTTCTCATGTACTTTGTCTCTCAATGCAGAGACAGGATGCATCTTTGTTAAATACTCACCAGGGCCTGAAGCTCCGCCTGGACTGCTGGTAGGGTGCCTGCCCAAGCCAGTTCAGTGTTCGTTTCTGCTATCAGAACCCTCCTGTTGGTCTCCACATCCATCTGGGAAAACCCCCCCCCAATTGTTGGCTGCACCTCTTCTTAGTCTCTGCACCTTTGTTCCTTAGTTAGGTTACTCTCCTTCCTTTTTCTTGCCTTCCCTCAATTTACCTGTTTCTTTGAGGTCAAGCTCAAGTTTTCCCCATGGACCTTTTTAAGTTCAGGCTCTCTGTTCTACTGTAATGACACAGAATTTTAGACTTCACTAAAACAGGGCAGTCAGTATCTGATGTCCGTGGTCTCATCAAGATAAGCAAGCTGCTCAAGGGAAGAGTCTCTGCCACTATCATTGTATCTGCCTCTCAAGCAAGTGACATTCTACAGGTAACCCCAAGAGTTCAACTTCCTGCAAAGAACAGCTTGCTTACTGATGGCAGCAGTATGGGACTTCATGGAGGTTCACACAGCTCTGTCTACAGATTTCTGTGACCTTGTACAGGGTAGGATGTGCTCCAAGACTTAAAAAAAAAAGAGTGGCTGGGTTCAGGTACCAGCGGGTTGGTAGTAGGTGAGCACGTAAGCAGTGTCATGTCCATGTTCAACTTCTGAATAGCCTCTGAGAATTAGTTTCCTGTGCTGACAGAGTACACAGAATGCAACAAAGGAAAGTGTCTTCTGGGTGGTTGGCTTTTTTGCAGATAGTCTGTTAGAAGCATGCTTTCCTTCCAGTTGACGGGGTTGGTTGAGACATCTCTCCAGCAGGGGACTGGGAGGTGAGGTGAGTGGAGGGAGGCACAGGGATGGAACCATGAGAGGAATCCCACCCAGACAGTCCTTTTCTCCTCCAAGCTCTCAATTGAAGGGGATCTGTGTGAGAAATCTGTGCCTGAATCAGATGTTAATAAGGAGGTTGTTTTCCTGCTACAGTTACTGAGAATTGTTATTTTAAGAGTCTACTTCTGGATTCTGGGGGAATTAAAGGCCAGTCTGTCCAGAACGGTTGTCAATTCGGAAAGACTTGACAACTAGCTATAGATAGGTCTGACATTTCATTTCCCCAGATGACTTTTAATTAAACATTTAATAAAACAGAAAATTCCCAACCCTAAAATTCTGATAGCGATTTCCATTTTCTTCACTAGCTCATGTTATTGGCAATTATTTTTAAAAGGAAGTCTTGACTGTTTCACAGGATCTGGTGAGATAATGCTGCAGCAGTGGTGAAATCTAGCGTCACATGTTCTGAGTCTTCTGAACACAAAGGAGAGGGTTACACACAGACCCTGTGATCCTCCCACACTGTTGTCTGACAGCATTGCCACGGGTTGACCTGGGGTTGCACTGAGAACGTAGGTCTACTAGGAAGAGACTTTAAAGCCAGGACTGAGTTTCAACTTCATTAGTTTCACAAACTGAAGATGAAAAATAGTCCAACTGAGAAATTCCTCTAGAGGTTTGAGTCTTATAATTCGAGCCAACACCAAACCCTGTCACCCACTCTTACTCATGGATATATCATCTTTGGATTCATAGGTCTATATTGTTAAATAAATAGTTGATTGAAATTCTTTCTATTTTCTTTGCCCTCTTAATAGAGTGCCACTGTTTTACAGCGATGTTTATTTTCAGCATCGATGTAATATAATTATTTAATTAGATCTTTTAAAGCTTACATGACCTAGTGGTATGTCAGGAAAATGTTTTAGATTCTAGGAATGCTTATGAATGTAGTTTTGTAATAGAAAAATAATTTTCAAATGTTGAAGGTATAAATCATTACATTTATTAATATTACATTAAAATTGAGTAAAATAAGGCCTTTGGTGCTTCAGTTCAACATAATTTTTTAAAAAAATTTAACCTAAGCTTTCACTTACATTCCCATCTAGTTCCAGCAAACACTGACCTTGGGTCTTCTCACTTTTGGGGCCTGACTCTTGTCCCCCAATACCCACTCCTCCCATATCCTAGCCATTACAGGTGGTGGCCAGGCTGTCTGTCCCCAGGGCACCCTCAGTGTCCACACTAAGCTTGTCCTCTGCTGGGCTGTTAGCTGGAAATACCCACCCCTTTCAACCTGTTTCTCCGCATATGATGTCAATCTCACAAGTCCTGTGCCCAATTATTTTGGAAACTTCACCTCCAGGTTCACATGCTGGCATTTGGAAAACCAGACTCCACCTCAATCTAAAGGAAGCCCAGCCCAAGGCTTGAATGCACAAGAGCTGGACATTATAGCCCCATTCTAGTCTGATTACCTCCAATTCGAGACTACACACACCTGCCACAGACATTCCCCCACCCTCTGAAAGAACCACTGGAATTAGCAAAACAAGGATCTGGAGGATCTCAGCCTGTAGAATCAAGACCCTATCCAGGTCTCAGGACCTCACTCACCACCCGTTCTGCAAAGCAGTGTAGCACTCCTGCACCCAAGACAGTGAGCCCGACAGGCCTCTGACAGAACTAGACCAACCACTTCAGCGGACCAGCACTTTTCAGGAGTTTTCCAGCTGAGCGAAAGGATGTTCACTTTGTTGAGTCAAGGAAATGGGTGCTGATCCTAAGACCTCTGCATCAGGGACCCTGCCCAGGACTTTAGTAGGAAGAGCTTTCTATTTAAAGGTAGATTGTCTGCAAAAGCTTCAAGTCAGGGCCTGTGATTCACACTAGCTTTGCTCAGAAATCAGAAACACAAGTGTTTTTATGAGTGAGCAACTACTGCAGAAAGATTTCAGGTCAGGGGTGCTTGACCTAACTAGTTGTTCTTCTTCTGTGCCTGGATCCTTGAGCCAAGCTTCTGCAGGTCCCTGTACACGTTCCGCTTCAGAATGGCGCTGCTGCACAGCAGGGCCCCTTGCAGGGCCCCCATCAACCCGCACGTGAAGATATCCTGGCCTGGGGGCAAGAGGGGCCAGTTAGCATCCATCAAATGGAGAGGGGAGGACCAGGTTCTCATGCTCAGAGCAAGGGCCAATTGGAGACCAGGCTTCCAGTCAGGGCCAGGGCCTACAACCTGCACAGCCTTCCCCCAAACAGAAGGCAAGAAGGCAGGACAGAGAGCTCTGAGTGATGGGGTACCCAGAGTGTCACATCAAAATAGGGCAGTAGGTACCTGTCATATAGAGGTTGGGGATGGGGCTTTGAGCCCTCACAGAGGCCATCACGAGAGGGTGCAGGCGGCCCAGGTCATGGTCGGCTCCGTAGCAGGCACCCCGAGAGGCAGCCAGATAATGCTGATTGGTCAGTGGGGATCCTCCATCCACACTGTCCACCTGAGGGGCAGAAAAGGCAGCTGCAGAGCAGGAGTGGGAACTCTGATTCTTCGCCCTGTGAACAGCCTGCCCACTTTGTGCTCCCAGGGGCTGTGACCCTGGGGCACCTAAAGGCCTGGCCCCACACCAAACACTGCAGCCCCCACCTGTCCCTCCAGCTGAGGAAACAGCTTCAGGACAACAGACATGGCTGCTTCCACAAAGGTGTTCTTGAGGGCTTCGTATTCGCTGCTTCGCTTTCCCTGTGGCTCCTCCTTCCATTCCTCAAACCATTCATAGGCAGCTGGGCAAAGCACAATCACCGTGGACCGATCTGGGAGTGCAAGGTCAGGGTTACTGCCACCTGGACCGTCCACACGTGCACACCCTCAGCCCCACTCCCTGTCCACCAGAACCCCAACCCAACCTGGGAACCGCTCCTCCCACGTGGGGTCCTTGGCTGATGAGGAAGACACAAAGAAAACGGGGATGTGTGCTGCAGCCTTTTCCTTGGGCATGGAGCAGTATCTGTCCATCCTGTGGGCAAGAGGAGAGTGTCAAGACCCAGCCTCATTCCAGCGCCACCAAGCCAGCGACAGCTTATCCCCAGGATGCCCCAGTGACAGCAGTGCAACACAGGAAAAAGTCCTTCAGGAGGTAACTTCTGCCAACTTCCTCCCAGCCCTCCAGGTAGCAGGGCCCTGTGTGCTATGAGCATATACTGACACCCCTCCCTAACACAGAGCCTTACGCCTTGTCCATGTCTTTGTTGAAATAAACGTAGTAGTTGGTAGAATTCAGACCCAGGTCCTTGTTAGAGCCTCGTAAGCAGATGAAAATGGAGAACATGCCCAAGCTGTGTCGCACCATCCCCAGCTGCTGCTTCAGATCTGTCAAAGGGAGTCAGGGAGGGCTGTATGACCCATGGCCAGAGATGCTGTTCCCTGATGCCAGCCTGCTTTACCCACAGCTTCCCAGCCGCCCGTCCAGTGCCCAGGCCACTTCTAAAGCTTTGACTGAAACAGCCTGCTCTTCAGTCCTTTGTGAGGATACCACCTCGGACCGTGGTCCCTGGCTTCTCAATACCCCTCTAAGCAGAACCCAGCCCCAACATAAGGCTGTTAGGCTGCACACAGCGCCTGTAGGACACTGTCAGATAAGCTGCTCCAGCCTTTGACACTCAGCTGGAGGAGTAGAGAGAACAGCACAGTGGAGGAAGGACCCACTGTGAGGCCTGGGACACACACAGCTGAGCAGCTCTGCTTCTGTCATGACCCCAGACCTATTATCTGGAAACTTAATTCAGAAATACTTCTTCCTCCTTTCCAGACAAAGACCACGTCCAGTACCTGCTAGGGAGAACTCAGCCAATGCTCTGCTTCACGTATTCCACGAGTACTCACTGAAAATATTGTGGGTCCTTTGCTAAACAATGAGAATGCTATGTCAGTGCATAGGAAAGGACTCCTGAAGGGCATTAAGCCACTGCCACTGAGGCGATCTGATTCATCACAACAGATCAGAGGACAGCTGCCCTGAGGGCTGGCCAACAGGCACACCTTTAATAAGGTAGACTGCCACCTCTTTCTACTGCAGAGCAGGTAGATAGTGGCTTCCAAATGTTAAGCAGGAGATTAACCACTATGATACCAGGGCTCCTTGCAAAGAAGTTCAGCATCTAAATGAAGACCTAAGTGCTATAAGCGGTGCGTCAATATAGTCTACGATCCACAGCACTTGGGAATGAGAGGGGACATTACTAATGACACTGGAAAATGGCCAAAAAACTCAGACACCAGCTACAGGATTGCAGTGAGGAGGAAGGAGGTCCAGGACTCATTAGCATCTGAGGCCCAGCTCCTCAGCCTGTCCACTACCCACAGGGGACCAGCCACAGGAAAGAGCAGAAGGCCCTGCCATAAGCTACCTGGTGTGGAAGCTGTGGGAGGACCTGGGTACACACACTGCTGGCACCCCTCCCAGGCAGGGCACAAGGTTAACATGAGAGAACAGACCTGTGGAATCTGGGTCTCCAGAGGCTCCTTAGACAACTCTTGCCTCCACCTAGACTGGCCCTGCTCTTTCCCAGGAGCATCGATCTTCCCAAACCACCTTGGTGAACCCCCTCAAGGCTCAGCAGTGGGACTGAAGAAAGGACCCCTCTTCCTACAAAGATCCCTTATTTGACTACCCCATCTCCACCCTGACCCCCACAGCCTGCCTGTTCCAAGGTCACACCCGGTCACAGTAGCTAAGATGTAGCAGAACTGTGAGGAGCCCCTCCTCCTGAGCAGCTGGACACAAGGGTATCATAGCCCCTGGGGTCTCTGGTTAGCGGCACAATAGCTAGGGACTCCACCCGCAGAGCGCCCACACTGGGGTGTCTCCTGAGTCTCCTCACGGCCTTAAATGCTCTCACACTGGGACTCATATGGGAGGGATCCACCCTCCACCCCACAAGCCTTTTTCAGGCAGTGGCATTAGATTGTGTACAGGATGATGCCCAAGAGCATGAAAACCAACTGGACAGTGAGGGGAGGTCAAGCTGCGCACATCCGGGGCGGAACAGCCCAGAGGGAGGTGGGAGCAGGGACACCGGGCTGTTAAAGAACCAGGTCAGGACACAGAAGTCCTGGGAGAGAAGGGGAAAGGTTACAGAAAGAGGGCAAGAAGTACAGAGTCCAAGTGTGGGTCTGCCTGTAACTGGGCAGTGTCTGCCTCACCCCACTCAGCTCACCCAGTTGGATGGTGAGGTGGCCTCTGCTGGCAGCAGACACTGGCTGAGCCCCAACTAAGAGAGGCAGAGACACAAAGAACTGGCTTCCCGTGGCACACGCTCAACACCTCAGAGAGGCTGACAACTGTCCCCTCACCTGCCACCATGCCGTAATCAGGACTTCACTTCCTACCAGCCTGTGCTGCCACCTTCCCAGATGCTCGGGCTGAGAGCCCCTTCCCAGAGCTCCTTGTCCCACTGAAGCCCCTCATTTTCACCCCCACCCTGTCATGAGTGTTTATTCTCACCTCCCAGCCCCACCAAAGGCCTCTCTCTAGACCCCTCTCTCTCCTTCCCAGATTACTGGTCCCCTTCTGGCCAGCCCACCACTATTCCTCACATCACACCAGTAGTTACATATTACATAACATCCTGAGTCCATTTCCAACACAGCAACTTTTTATCTAAGAGCACTAGTCACTTGTGTCCCTGTGGGCGGCTCCTGCTCTTCTGTCCCCTTCGTGAAACCTTTGCCCTGGAACCCCACAGTCCCGGTCCACACAGGATGCACACAGCCAGGCCTTTCTAATCAGACAGACCGAGGTCCTCATGTGCTCAGCAGGCCTCAAGAAGTCGCTTTCACCTCTATCACCACTTTCCCTGCCATAAATGTTAGGATGAGGAGAAATGTTTCTCTGCTGGTCACTGTGAGGGTCAAACGCAATGACAATGGGCAAGCCTCTCACACAGACTTATCAAAGCACACACACTGAGACTTATTTCTTCCTGGGTCTCAGATATCAAGCATGAGGCTCAAGGGACAGATGTAAACCAGAAGGCACTCCTGCAAGGAGCTGGGGCTGAAGGAGGCAGGAAAGCATAAGCTTGGATGTCACGTGAGGCACACAACCATGGCATCTACCATAGCCTGTCTTGTCCACTCTGAACTCAGCGTGCCTGTGGATGAGGAGACCTAACTCCTTTACTCAGAATAAATGAGAAATAAAGAGATTCATAGCAAATGCAAGGAAAACCCAAGACATGGTCCTTTGGGAGTCTACTCAGCATCCCTAACCAGGATAGGATCAAAGATCCAGAGGAAATGGAAATGGGCAGACTGGAAGGGACACTTAAAAGAGAGGAGGACCAAGTTGAGGATATAAAGGAAATAGTTGTCAAGAATGAACCGGAGGTAAGGACCCCACATGTTGGACAGGAAGGACAGAAATAGTTGTTCTCCAGCCTGTTAACAAAGAGGCCCTGGCTCGGATGGTGCTAAGTCCCTTGTGTTCAGGTTTTCTGCTTAAGGTCAGAGGGCAGCTGGTTTGGACAGCCAAGAGGAGAAAAACCAACACCCCAGCAGAAATGCTCACCCCAGGAGCAGCAATCAATATGGCGAACGTGGGTGAGGGCGATATGGGCCAAGCTCTCACCTGGCAGATTGCGGGCATGTTGTGGCAGTAAGTGCTGGTAGGTATTGAACAGTCCTGCACTGGAGATGACGATGGGGCAGTAGATGTTCACCAGTTCTTGGCCCTTCTTCACGCTGACACCTGCAGACACAGGAGGCTGTTGAGGTTCTGGGCTCCTAGGAAGGGAGAGATTCATGCCTCCTGCAGATCCCCAGCCTACATGTCACCTTCTCAATCTGGGGTTCCAGGCGTCCTGGGCTAGGAAGTTGTAGGTAAATGAGCAAAGTGAGTGAACTGTCCCCCAGCTCTGCCAGCCCTTCCTACAATGCCTTCTGCTGCCTCATTCCCACTCGCCCTGGCTCTCCATTCCTATAACAATTTATTGGCATTACTCCTTTCCTTAGACAGCCCAACTGCCACTCCAACTCATGGATTGAAGCCCTTGCTTCTTCTTGGCCTCAGAGTTCTAGTCTATATTACTATTCTTTTTAAAAGACGCTCTGGTGATGTAGTGAGTTAAGTGTTGGTTTGGTAACCTAAAAGTCTATGGTTTGAGCCCACCAACCAATCTGTTGAGATTTGCAGCCTCAGAAACTGATAGGCAGTTCTACTTTCCCTTAAGGGTTGCTATGGATTGGAAATGACTAAAGAACAACAATTAGGGATTTGTTTTCTTTTCCTTAAAACCCTCCAAAGATACCTCAACTTTTATAAAATAAATTCCAAAGCCTTGTCACCACCTTCCAAGATCTGGTCCCATCTATATGCCTGGCCTCAGCTCTTGCTTCTCTCAGCTATTAGGTAGAACCATATGAAACAGATGATAATCTACCTTTTTATTGACCTATAAAAGCATTTAGTGGTTTCTTACTGTTCAGCCTAATGCTCTCAGATGCCTAGAAATACTCCGCTTTTTCATATGTCTACACTTTCACACATGGTTCACTTCCTGGAATAATTTGGTTCAACTTATCACTGTGTAGCTGTTTCTCACCCTCTCATCTGATTCTGAGAGGCCTTCCCCAGTCCACTGTCCTCTGTGTCGCCTGTATGTATCCCAAGTATCTGCCTCTATTGTGACACTTAACATATATGACAAGAAACTTCTGAGTTAGACAATTCACACTGTTTATATTTTTATGTCCCTATTTTATTGCCAAATACATTAAAAATACAAGTATATTTTGAGTTGGATTTAAATTAACTCATCAGTCCATTCTGCTTGGTGGTCCTCTTTCAGCTGAAAGAACTTGTTTCCAGACAGCAGACAAAACCTCAAACAACTGCAACGTGTCTTTTACCATTCACCAACTTCGCCATCTTTTTCATGCCCATCTCTTTTACAAATACATGCTTGGAGATCTGACAGCTTTTTCTCCAGATTCTTTACACTGGCCTACCCACACATCAACTACTCCCTGAAATGAAGTCACCAGCACACCAGTTTGACTTGCTTTGGCCTCTCGGTTCTCTTTTTTCCAGATGTACAAGGCCTATTCTATTTCCCCCAAGTCTTTTTTTTCCCCCTTAAGTGAAAGTTTACATATCATACTGGTTTTTCATTCAATTATTCACAGACATTTTGTTTCATAACGTTAATTACTAATGATTAATGTAGGTAGTTTATTACAATGTCTAACCGATCCTCCCTTTCTCTTCACTGAACTTACATATTCATTTCTCTCTCCATTCCCATCCCCATTAACCCTCCAAAATGGATTCTATCTGCACATAAACATTTTCTTAGCGTTTCATAATGTTGTTGTTGTAGTTAAGTGAAGTCGAGTCATAGACGACCCATAGTGACTCTATAAACGAAAACCCTGAACCCTATTGTATAACTACCATCATTTCTCCAAGTTCATAGGGTTTCCGGAGGCAAGCTATTTAGAAAGTGGATGCCACTCCTGTTTCCAAGGTTTTCATAATAATAATCTTATAATATCCTTTTGTGACTCAGCATAATTTGTGCAGTATTTCATGAGTTCTTGATTGTTTTTTAGTGATGCATAATATCCCACTGTGTGAATGTTTCTTTAGCCATTCATTGGTTGATGAACATTTGGTTTGCTTCCATCTCTTCACTATTGTAGATAAGGTTTCAATAAACACGGCTGTGTACATATCAGTTTGTGCTGCAGCCCTTAAGTCTTTGGTATACATACCCAGTAGTAAAACTGCTGAGTCAAACAAGATTTCTATTCCCAACTTTCTTTCCATAGCAGCTGTACCATTTTACATTCCCATGGCAGACTCTTCTTGCACAGAGTTCCTCAAAGACTTTATCCACAGTGGGATTTAACTGTCTGTGCAGTAACAGCACTGACCTGAGTCAGGACATTGAGATACGAGTCTTTGCCAACATGGGAGTGGGTAAAATGCTTTGCTGCCCTCCGTACTGTTTTACAGGTTGCCCAGGTTCCTCAGTCATTCCATCCATCTCTAAACCAACAGTTGTGAAACACTGTAAAATACTATTGGTGCAAATGGTTTGTGACCAACTACTAATCTAAATTAATCCTTTAGTGTACGGTAAATTCCAGTGGTGCAAGGAAGCTCTGGGGGCTTAGTGGCAAGAAGCTGCACTGCAATCCCAGAGGTGTGCGGTTCGAAACCACCAGATGCTCTGCTGGAGGAGGGGCAATCTCCTCCTGTACCAGTCAGATCTGATTTGATGATACACACACACAAAATAATTTAAAAAATTTTTTTTTTGTTTAAAAATTTAAATTCTAGTGGTGCAAATGGTTTACAATCAATGACTAATGGAAATTAATCCTTCGGTATACATCGTCTCTCAAGCACTGGGCGAATAGGTACTATCATGATAGAGGTAAACTAAAATTGTCACTGATTTCAACTTACTTGGATCCAAAATCAACAGCAGTCAAGAAATCAAAAGATGTGTTGCACTGGGAAAATCGGTTGTCAGTACCTCTCCAGAGGTCTGAAGAACAACAATGTCAGTTGAAAAACTAAGGTGGACCTGACCCAAGCCATGGTCTAGAAATCATTGGCCTGAATACTGTTGGAATGACTGAGAGACTATGGCCCTTACATACCAGCATTTGAGCCGAGAACTGAACAACTCACAAGCAAATAATAGATCTAAACAGTCAACATCAGCGAGGAACTCAGTCCATGTAATAACTATACAAGACTGCAAGGGTAGCAATTTCCCAGAGATAAAGCTGAGAAGGTAGGAAGGAGAGGATGAAGGGATGAATGAAAGCAAGAACTAGAGAGTGATCATAGGAAGAGTAATGATATGTTGGTTTGGTGGATTGAAATCCATTTCATCAAAAAAATTTATTAATGATTGAGCAGAATACAAACCTGCTCAGTAACTTTTCACTAAAATCTCAATAAAACATTTCCCCAAAAGTTAATGTCTTACTAGATACATATATCCTCATATTTAAATAAATCATTAATTTGCTAAAGAAATCATTATAGTTAAACAAAATATTAACTATGATTTTGGGGGGACCAAGCAAACGTTTATCCTTCTTGCTTCTTCTATGCCCCTAGCCCTGACGCTATACCCCTCACCTCAGCTCTGGAGTAGTTTTGAGTTTTTAACTTCCCATGCAGAAGTTAGTTGGTTCTTCTACACTTTCTGTCCTCAATGTGTTCCTCTCTCCACACCGCAGCCCTCAGATCCCAAGCCCAGTGCAGGGCGCTCACCACAGGCCTTTCCAGCCGAATCCAGCAACACACTCTGCACAGTGGCCCTCGTGAGGACGGCACCCCCAGCACGCTCGATCACAGGGATGGTGTGGAAGGCAATTTCGCTGGAGCCCCCTCGGGGATAGAATGCTCCTTTCAAGTAGTGGTCAACCAGCACAGCATGCATGGCGAAGGTGGTGTGGCTGGGAGTCACACCTACAGAAGGAACAGGTGATGAGACAAGAGCACCCAGCAACCCGCACCACTTAGAGCAGACACAGATTCCATGTGGGACCCAACATTTCCCAGGCCTGTCTCCACCCCCAAAGAGTATTTTAGAGATTGTGGGTTCAGGGGCTGTCCTCCCTGTGAAATACTGCAAAAGTCAAGGAGAACAGTATTGGTGAATTGAAAAATACTTCCAATATATAGAGAAGGGTCATCTCTCCAGCAGCTGGACATGACTCCTCATGCTTAAGACTGGGATTTCTACTGCTCTGTTTCAGTCAGTCAAGCAGGATGGGGAGACTGAGGAGCTAGAGGGTACTCCCCCACCAAAAGCTTCCCAGGGTTAGGGCCGGTCCCCACCATAAGTAGGGAAGATGTAGCTGAGCACTGCCTGGAGTTCACGGGATGCTGGCAGCTGCTGCAAGACCTCAGACAAGCTCTGGGTGGAGGCACGCAGGAACGGAGAGAAGCGAGTCAGCAGCTGACACTTGCTGAGGAAGCGTACCAGAGGCAGTGGGAGGAGCTTCAGCACGATGGCATGACTAGTTGTGCTGGACACCACCTGGGAGAGACGGAGACTGTGAGGAGCACACGCATCTCGGGACACTGGGGTACAGTTGCCAGCCTAGCAGTCTGTGTCCCCAACAACACTTAACACTGGAGGCATTTTACTGGATTTGAATTCTTCCCACTCTACACTCAAATCACTTCTATTTTTACTTTTGTCAAAATATACATATATGTATGAAAACACCTATCATCAGACAACTGCTGCATGTAGATTAGTGTCATTATGCTTAACTATCAACCTATCTGTTCCCAAAATTTCCCTTGACAAAAAACTCAGTGTCCCCTAACCATCGTGTCTTCCTGCTGGCCCTGTGGCTAACGTCTAACTTTGGTCTCTAGACACTTGCCTCTGTATATATTTCACATAATTAAGACCATCAATATTTGTCCTTTTTTGACAATTATTTCACTCAGCAAAATGCTTTCAACATTCATCCATGTTGTAGCAGGTTATCAGGACTTTAATTCTCTTTATGGCTCATTTGCATATACATTTATTTATGTGTTTGCCTCACATACTTTGGACATGTTGCAGGAGGGATCAGTCTTTGGAGAAGGACATTATGCTTGGAAGAGTGGAGAAACAGTCCTGGATGAGACGGATTGACTCAGTGACTGAGGTAACGAGGGTAAGAGTCGGAGACAGTGAGACTGGCTAGGGACAAGGCAGGGTTCTGAGCTATTCTGCACAGGGTCACTTTGAGTTGAAGTCAACTCAAAGGCACATAACCCCACCACATATATATCTAGTTTGCATGGATTACATTTTTTTTTAACCAATCATTAGTTAATGGGTGTTGCTCCCACGTTTTGACTATAATCAATAGTGCTTTAATGAACACTGTGTACAAGCATCTGTTTTTACTTCTATTTGGTATATCCTAGGGGTGGAATCAATAGATCATTGGGTAATTCTAAAGAGCTCTGGTGACTCAGCATGTAACATGTGTGCCTGCTAACCAAACGGTCACTGATTCAAAGCCACCAGTAGCTCCTCTGAAGATAAGCTGTCTCTTCCTACGAAAGCCAGCAGCCATGAAAGCCCAATGCACTGCTGCTGAATCAGAAGTGACACAGTAGCCAATATGTTAGAAGTGCTTACGGTGATTCTGTGTCCAACTTTTTAATGAACCACTAAAATGTCTTTCAAAGCAAGTGTACCATTTTATACCAGCAATGCATAAGGATTCCCTTTCTCCACCCCAGCCAACCCTGCCAGGTGGTTTCCTTCTTTCATTATTTTCTAAAAATATCATAGTCATGGTTGTGACTGGTATCTCATATGTTTTTGATCTGTATTTCTCCAAGGACTAATGATAGTGAGCAGTTTTTTGATAGGCTGTTGCCCATTTCTATTTCTTCTCGGGCTAAATGTCTGGTGACTGTTCAAGTGTTTGCCCATTTTTGTTACATGATTGTTTGATTTTCTGTTGTTTAATTATAAGAGCTCTTGATCTCTTCCAGATATTAACTCTCATACATAACATCCAGATGAGTCCTTTTATGCTTTTGGATTCTTGCTCTAATTCTTTTTGACTAAGATCAATCTGGTCCCAGAGTGAAAACATTGTGTAATATATGTAACATATGTAAGTCACTGAAGTCAGGAAGAGAATGGTGCCTCCAAGAGGCCAGTATGAGAGTGGCAAGTGCTGAGCCAAAGTTTCAGAGAAAGAAGCCCTGCAGGCAGAGAGCTGGACAAAGGCAGAGGCTGGGGTCAGGGCAGACTGGTCCTCCCTTCCTGACTTCCTCACCACTCATGAAGACAGTCCACTAATGAAGACTGTCAGACTGGCTGAGGAGAAACTAGACTCCTCAGTGTGTCCATATTACCTTAACCATCTTCATATACTTGTCAATGGCAGCCGCTTCTTGGGGAAATTTCTCCTTGAGGCCCTTAATATAGGCTTTCTCCCCACTGTACATGGGGAACTCCTTGCGGCCACTGGGTTCGTCCAGCACCATAACATCAAAGGGAGAGGCCAGGGGAGCCCAGTCCAGCTGCCCCTCGGTGATCTGGTCCAAGATAAAACGGCCAATGCTGCCCTCCTGCATACGCCCAATGTAATGGATTCCTGGTGGGAGGGGGAGAAAAAGGTACCACAGGGATGGGGAAGGAGCTCTGGAGTATAGACAGGAAAGCAGGTGGAAGAGGTGGTCTGACATGCCCACCATCTCTGCAGGAAGGTTTCACAATGGAAATGACCCAATCCCTGCCCACTTCAGGTCCCAGTGGAAGGACAGGTCAGACAAGGAAAGACAGAGGGAGCAGGCAAAGCCCTAAAATCACAAAGATGCCTGGTATCTTCCCACAGTGGCTGTCCCAAGGCACTGAAAGATGCAGCCATGCTCCCAACCCTTTCCACACAAGCCTTACCTGTGTCAAATTCAAGGCCATCCTGGCCAAAGGTATGGCAGCAGCCCCCTGCCTTGGTATGCTGCTCCAGCACCAGAACTTGCTTGCCAGCCTTGGCCAGAATCGCAGCTGCAGCCAGACCTCCAAAGCCACTGCCAATCACCACCACATCCAGCTTCTCTGGCACTTTGCTGACTGAGAAAGCTGCAGGAAGAGGGGAGAAGTGGAAGGCCAGCTTCTCAGGCAGGGGCAGAGAAAGAGCAGAGACACTCTAGTGCCCACAGCAAGACAACTGGAGCACTTTGGCAGGAGCTCCTAAGTTGCCTCAAGCCCTTCACCTTGGAAAGACTCAGCACCTAATGGGCAAAACAATTTGGTTTGAGCTGAACTGGTTTTTAACTAAAGACACTATCTTCCTGGGAATTTTCTCTGCACGCAAAAAAAGGTAAAAATCAGTTAACAAAATGGAGATCACAAAATACTTCCTGAGACACCTGGGAGCACAGCGAGAGCTGGGGGAAGAAAACCAGGCTGGCGGAAGAGTGCTAGGGGAGGCTGTCAGCTCCTGGAATCATCTGTCCACAGTCACTGCACTTTGGCAGCTGCAGGATCCAAGAGCACCATGGTCTGGTGGTGCACGAAGACAGAGGTGCTTACGGCATTTAAAATACATTTCAGAGGTTGCTGCTCTGGGAAGCCACAGTATCACCACCTCACAGGGTGGATGCCTGCAGCCAGTGGAGGCCGTGCTGAGGGTGCAGGACTGGGCATGCTGCACTGTGAATCTTTCAAGTTACAACAGAACTTGGAAAATTTAACTCAACACTTTCTCTAAGCACTCATAGAGACACTGTGGTGAAAAACACATTATACAACATGCCCTAGAATATAGTAAGAATATAACACATATACCTAAAGCAATGTGTGTTTATTTTTATTCTTTTTATTTTTCACTTTATTCCTGGGCATTTAAAAATACTTGTCGCAACCCACTAAACTGGTTTTATCACTCTTATCCATGCCATTAACTTCTCAGGAAAATAACATGCTCTGATAAATTCTCTCATTTTCAGCTCATGTCAGAGTTCAGGCTAACAAGTTTGGCCTCTCAAGTGTGGACGATCAGCCCTTCCACCTAAAGGAGCACATCTCCACAGGCTGGCAAGTGTTGGAGTCAGTGAGAACAAATGGGAACATGGAGACCAGGGTTCAAGGAACAAGCAGGAAAACAGACCTAAGGTCAGCAATAGCTGACCCGCCCTTCCCACTCCATCGCCCTGGGTGCTGAACTAAAGGCACCAGTCCTTGCAGAAGAGCAGTGGCTGCCACGATCTTGAAGAATTTTGGAAATCACCATGGAAGAGAAAGTTGCCCCTCACCACCAATCAGAAAAAACTACTAATTGGAGAAGCAAAACAGTTAAGATTAGGGAGGATCCTTCTTGTTCACTAGAGGGTCCGCTGTCTCTTAGTGCACCCTGTAGGCTTACATTTCTTTCTTCTTTCACTAATAACCTGATACTAACTGCTTTTGGGGTTATCTGTGGTGCCCTTTCCTGGAGAGAATTTGCAAGTCCTCTCCAAGGCCGTCCTACACTGCATATAAAAGCAAGCTGCACATCACACAGGATTCTAAAACCCCTAATGTGAAAGGTACCCTGGCGATCAAAGGAAGGATTATTTTTTTTTTCTTTTTTTAAGCAACAGAACAATGTCTTCGCGTAACCCCAAGATGTTTCAAGATGTCCAGGTTGAAGGAGAAGCGCCCCTGAGCAGAAGGCACCTTCCCGAGCCTTCCAGAGAGTTTGAAATGCAGGGTTTAATCCACAAGTGAGAAGCACCAAACTCGCGCAGTCACGTGACCAGCACTTTTCCTCCCACAAACGCGGACTTCCTCTGGGTACTTGTCACGTGATGCCGAGCGGCAGCGCTCGCGGGCAGGGCCAAGGCCGGGGCTGCCGCAGCCGAGTGTCCGCGCGGACATCCGAACAGTGAGGACGGCGCCCTGGGCCGGGCCTGTCGAGCAAAGACGGGCGAGACCGCCAGCCCTGAGCCTCAACACTCATGGCCCACCCCCAAGGAGGCTTTCCCCGCTCTGCACATGTGGGGAAACTGAGGCACGGCGCGGTCTGGGACGCAAGCCCGTGAGGACCGGCCCCGGTTCCCTCCCACCGACCTTGTTTGAGAACTTTCTTTCTGGCCTCCTTGTCAGTCACGAGGGGCGCGGGCGACCGCTTGACATCCTCCGAGAAGGGGTTCCGGGAGCGGCCGGCGAACAGGGCCGAGTACGCTTTGTAGAGGATGGCGAGCAGCAGCGCGCCGAGCAGCAGTGGCCACATCGCAGCAGCAACTAGGGGAGAGGACAGCGCGGTGCAGACTGTGCACTCGAGGGCGCAGCGCGACCTCTTTTATGGACTCTGTCTCGGAGGCGGAGTCTTAAACATGCACAAGCGAGCCGGCGCAGATTGACCCTCTCGGCGGCCAGTAACCACCTAATGGCTATGATTTTCATCGCCTACCGGGAAGGTGTAAAGGCCGGGGGTTCGAATCCCCTAAACTTTTCACGGGGAGGTCGGGGCGGAGGGAACATGGGCTGTCTCCTCAGGTGCAATTTACAGGCTCTGAAGAAACAGCTATGGGTCGGTTCCGACAGGAGGGCAGTGAGTCCAGTTCGTTTAGCTGGATAAAGTAGTGTTCTGGGCCTGGAGGCATTGAGTTGGCGGTGCCGTTCGCAAGTGGGAAAGAGTTGCTTCCGGAGATATAAAATCCCATGTCCAGGAGACTATTAGTGCTGTTTCAGGGGAGTCTAGGGAAGCGCCCACTGGAGGTGTGGGGAAATGATGGCCCCGCAGTGAGGCTCGTCGTGGGGCTGAGGGGCTGGGACAGAATTCCCCTCGGAGCCTGCAGAGCTGAGTGACCCGAGGCAGCTTCCCCTTCCCAGGCAGTGGGAGAGTTTCTGCCCCTGCTTGACTGGAAGAATGGAGATCACCCAGCGGCATTGCGACCAGGCTGAGTGCCCACTGGACCTCAGCGGGCGGTCCAGGAGCCCTACCCCCACACTGCCTCCACCATCCACACCCCCAGGCTCAGAAAACTCACACCTGTCGGAGACCTTTCCTTCCAGCAAATATTGAAATCTTATACCCCACTTAATTTAGGGAGCTCTGGTCGCTTAGGTGTAAGGAGTTAGTTACGCTGCTGACCACGCTTGAATCCACCAGCTGTTAGCCAGAGTGGGGTGGGAAGTAGTCTCCTCCCATGAAGTTTGCTGCCTGCTGCTGGAAGGTCAACTATGTGTAGGTTGTGACTTTACAACATATAACAATGTTAGACCCCCTATGTAGTCCTTGTCTACATTGAATGCCTAGTAAAAATAAAGGTCTGATTGTTTTTAAAAAGATCCATCTTTCTAGAAATATTTCCTTAGGCCCATTTCCTTATGTGCAGGTATAAAAACTTGCTAGTATTATTGCAATTATTATTGCTAGTCTAGTGTTATTTCATCATTTCGAGTATTTGCCTGTGTAACAGTGTTTTTGCTCTTTCTTTTCTCTAGCACAGGCAAGAACTGGCTCTATGGAAGCGCCCTGCACTGTCTGGCAAAACTGAGGCACTGGCAGGTGGTGTGAAGCTTCTGTGCTGTTCTGGTTACTGGATTCATTTCCTACACAGCACAGAAGAGCCTTCCTAAGAAGGAGACAGCCCCTGCTTGTCCCCTTCCCAAGGCTGGTTGCTAATGTGAATGTTTCAGTTACTTGTTGCTGTTTCCTTGTAATGAGTGCCCTTGCTTGGCTCTCCTTTGCCTGGACAAAGAATTGAGCCAGTTGGGAAACACCAGGAAGGTTGGTGCCATGGAGGCACCAGGGAGTGTGTACAGCTGTTTTGTTGTTGTGTATGGTGGTGAGCCAACTCATAGCTGACCCCCCAGTGGGTTTTCAGAGGCAGTAAATTGCAGGGGAGGAGGTTGCTTATTTTTCTCCTGCGGAGCAGCTGGCAGATTTGAACTACATGTTTCAAAAAAAGTTGGCAGTGTAACTCGTTACCAGAGCTCCTTATTATAGTGACTTAAGAGCCACTACTGTTTAGTGTTACAGCAAGCATAGTGGCTTTTAAAAGAAGTTTCAACAGCCACCAAGGTCAGGGTCATCTGACTTGCCAAGAAAGAGGTAAAGACAAGAATAGAGGTGAAAGTAAAGGCAGTTTATTAGATTTCAGAGACAGGAAAGGTCACTCTTTGAGGGAAGGAAAAGGGTAGAAAGAACAGGGGTTATCGATATATGGATAATATAGCTTGTTACTGTTAGTGAGGTCTCGAACTTGAGAAGTTGAAATTTGGCCGGAGATTCTTACTCTGGTCTGTTGTTTCTGATGTCACTGGTTGCATGAGGCGTTTTACATGCTTGGGAGGGATGTGTGTATTTTACTGTAGTTGGCTTTCTGAGGCATTGGCATCTTCCTTATAAGGTAACACTAAATAGTCTTTGATTTTAATTGAATACGGTCAAGTCTTAGCTAATGCATCTGACTTTTACCCATTGTTGTTCTCTAACAGGGTTCCTGCTTTCCTTATTTCCTTGGTTTCTGCCTTAACATTCTTCCCAACCATGCTTGTCTCATTTCACTTGACTTACTGGGTTTTGTCCCTAACATTGCCATGGAAGCCAAATCTGGAGGGGGGAAAGAGGCGGATACTGGGATATTGGTGACCACCACGCTGAGAGGAAGCTAGATACTGAGGCGCCATAATTGAGAGGGTGCTGTGCCACCCACATGGCCACCTCTTCCTCTACTCCATATTCCAATGAGCCAAATGTCCAGCCTGAGAGTTAAGTATTTTTGCTAATTCTGGGAGTTAGCAATTGATATTTCCTGTCTTTTGAAAAAGATCCCAGTTTGTTACCAGAAGACAGTTCTTAGGGAACCCAGATCAGATTACTGGAGTGGAGGGCTCACTTCAGAGAGAGACCATTCTCTTCCTTTAGTCACTGTGTGGTCTGGGAAGTCTGAATATCAATTGCGTTTAAGCCAATTGCCACTTAGATCCCTATGAGGTTTTCTGGTGATGTTGTTATTAGGTACCATCAAATCATCTACAATTCCAATGAATGAATGGAAATCCAAAATCTCATTAAAATTATTTTTTAAAAAATCATCTGGAGATCCAAGATGGTGATGGAGGCAGAGACAGTGTGGTGAGCTGCAGGAGCAGCAAACCACTTAAAGCAGGGCCATTATGGCCTTCCACAGACTTCAGCTTATTGATAATTGAACACTTAAACAGTTGATGACTGGCCCTCAGTGAAGATCGAGGCTCAACAACAGGAATTCAAGGATTCCCAAGGAGAAATGGGTGAGGCTTGTGGCTCCCAACCCCCTCC